TGTGGGTCTCCCCATTAGACAATTAACATACTCAAAAAACCCTAAACGACAATAAGGATAGTAATCCTCTCATATTCAATCTTCTGATAATTGTCTCGTCTAATACTATCAAATACACCGTTCTTATTGTTATTGATTATTCAATAATATTATAATATGCTATAATTTGTGTCTATTCGGTTATTTTATAATTTATCAATTTTAAAATACAAATATAATGGAGGATTTAGTTCACAACAAACCGATGATTTTTAAAGTCAGCAATAATATTTTTGAAACCACATTACCAAAAAAAAAACTGTAAAACAAATATTAGAACCAAAGTGACTCAATAATTTATTATTATTATTATTATTATTATTATTATTATTATTATTATTATTATTATTATTATTATTATTAAAGTATAGTAACATCGTGCTCTCTTAAGTTTTAAAATCGACATACATGCTTACTACTTGAGACATGAAGATATTCTGACTAGAATGGTTAAGGGATCTGACTCTGGAATTTTCAAAGCGATTCTAATACAAAGGGACAAGCTAATGACCATACAGAGTACATGGGATGCTATGCTGCAGATGGGTAAATTCCATGGGAGGAAAGTGTATCAAAGCCTCCTACCTATTACTCCTAATATTTCATGGGCCAAATTAATCCTTCACAATAGAGCTAGACCCCGGGCAATTATTACTCTCTGGACGATCTGTCATGGAAAGCTAGCAACCAAGTCAAGACTGTTCAGATTTGGCATGATCAACAATAACAAATGTGCTTTTTGCAATGAAGAGGAAACCATTGATCACTTATTTTTTTGTTGTGTGGAATTGAAGCAAATATGGAGTGGTATTCTTCAGTGGTTGGGCATTCAACACACTCCAAAAAGATGGCAAGAGGAAATGCAATGGGCTCTGAGCAATTATGGTGGGAAAGGCTGGTAATCTGATCTGGTTAGGCTTGCCCTTACAGAAACTCTTCATGAGATCTGGCTTTATAGAAACGAAGCCTGTTTTAATCATAGAACTGATAATAGGAATTGCCTTGATAGAATTATTTACAATATAATGTATAGAGGGTGGACTAGTCCAAAGCTTAGACCATGTATAGCTAGGTTTATTTTGCCTTAAGGTAGTTTGAGTGTTTTGTGGGCTGGATCATTTGATCGCCTTGGTTTGTATGGTTTTTGAATTAATGTCAAAATTTCTTGATTCAAAAAAAAACCCGACATAATAGACTACAATTTCAAAGCATGTTAAAGAGAAATTATTTACAAACTAAAATTTCATATTATGTTTTATCGGCAACTCTTCAATTATATATGCAACATTTTTTTATTCAACAAAATAGGGTTATTCAGCTGTAGCAATATATATAATTTTCATGCAATCAAATAATATCCATAACATGTATCTAAGCATGCTCTGATACCAATTGATAAATTATAGAATAATCGGATAGACACAAATTATAGAATATTATTGACAAAAATACTATTTTAGTCCTTTAAGTTATTTTAACATATCAAATTAATCTCTTAAGTTTTTTTTTGTAACGCTTTGATCCTTTTTTAAAATCTCCGTTACAATAAATTGTAAACTCATATACCATTTGAACTGGTTTTTCGCGTTGATCACGAATATACAATCAAATTTATCAAACAAGTTAGGGTTCATGAGAATCAGGTAAAAATGGATGAAATACATAATGAAAAATCATCGATCCGACTAAAGTACGCACTCAAACGCAAAACTAATTACATATTCGTGATCAGCGTGAAAAACCAGTTCAAATGTTATATGAGTTTGTAATTTATTGTAACAAAAATTTTTAAAAAAGGACTAAAGTGTTACAAAAAAAATTTAAGGGACTAGCTTGATATTTTAAAATAACTTAAAGGACTTCGACAATAATTTTGTCAATTTTATAAAAACAGTGTACTTGATAGGATTAAAAGAGACATTCATCGAAAAATTGAATATGAGAAAATTATTACCCTTATTGTTGTTTAAGATTTTCAGAGTATGTTAATTGTCTAATGGAGAGACACTTAAATAACTAAACGGCTGAGGGAAGAGACCTCTCATTGGGTTTAACTGAATGATCCAACTCATCACGGTCAATTTAGGCAAAAAACTCAATCAAACAATTTATCTATTTATTGTTTCATAACAGTAAACCATAATATAATTAATTATGTCAATCCATACTTAATTAACTAAATAACTAATATAACAAACATTACCCCAACTATGTATTTCATAATTAAAATATATATCTAAATCCAAACACTATAAAGTATTGTTTTTGTTTTCTTTAAATTATAACAATAAAAATTGTTGGGGAGTTTTTTACTAGAGAGCATTATTGGATCAAGAGCAACACAAGTGAGAGAGACACCACATATTCACCCAAAACCTTAAGTTGATAGGTGTATGAATTCTCCCACTTATAAATGTTCAACTATTCATATTTATAATCAATGTGGGACTTCAACTCACAGTTGACTTTATATTATTCTCAACACACCCCCTCAAGTGTAAGCCCACAATGCTCCCCTTCATGTGGAAACTCTTTTTGTCCACTTATATTTGTACCGCCGTTGACACCTCTTTTCTGGGCATTTCGATACACCTCTTCTCGGACATTTCGATTTTAACGGGACACCACTTCCTAGACACTTCGATACATATAAGTAAGTCCCTTTACTCGAACCAGGATCTTATACCATTTGTTAGAGAGTTTTTAACTAGGGAGCATTGAACATTGTGTCAAAAGCAATACAAGTGAGAGACACACCACATATTCACTCAAAACCTTAAGATAATAGGTGTATGGATTCCAACTCACACTTGACTTTATATTATTCTCAACAAAAATAACACTTCAAAATAAATGTTTTTAATCTCAAAATAGTTCTTACACAAAACAAATTTATTTATAATATGTTACAAGATAAGCGTAAATCATAATCCGAACACTTCAATTCCATTATCATATCACCTTATAATCATATGTGGTACCTCCCAAAATTTATTTTCATTATTCAAAAGGTTATATACAATATATATATATATATATATATATATATATATATATATATATATATATATATATATATATATATATATATATATATATATATATATATATATATATATATATATATATATATATATATATATATATATATATATATATATATATATATATATATATATATATATATATATATATATATATATATATATATATATATATATTCTCATATATATATATTCTCTATTGGAGGTCACATACTAAAATCCCAACAAAGATAAAAGAAATCTTATTTTAAATTAAATGGTCTAACAAAAACAAACCTTACTCCAACTTTTCAAAAGTTAAAATAGATATGTGAATTCAAAGACTAAAATATTTTTTGTTTTCCTTAAATTATAGCAATAAAAATAACACTTTGAAACAAATATCTTTAATCTCAAAAGTAGTTTTTACACCAAACAAATGTCTTTAATATCAAAATATTTCTTACACAATATTCAAAGATAATTCACTCGTACTTGTTCATAAAATATAAGAGAGTATGTAACAATCTTTTAGCGGGTATATATATGTTTCACTTCTACATTATTCATATCATATCGAACAATACTATGCTAAAAAAGACCTTTAGCAGCGCTTTTTTTGCCCTTTAGCAGCGCTGCCAAAAGTGGCGCTGCTAAAGGTAAGGGCAGCATTTTTTTTTAAGAAAAAGCACTGCTAAAGGATCCCTTCAGCAACGATTTTAGCAGCGCTTTTTTCACCCTATAGCAGCGCTTTAAAAGCGCTGCCTATTCCCCCTTTCCCTCCCTTCAGCAACGCTTTTTCAACTTTATAGCAGCGCTTTTCCCTCCCCCTTTAGCAGCGATTTTAAAAGCGCTGTCTTAGACCCCCTATAACAGCGCTTTTTAAAGCGCTTTCATAGAACCCCCCCCCCCTTTTCCAACCTATAGTAGCGTTTTTTTGGCCTCTCTTTGCACCCTTTAGCAGCGCTTTTTTAAAAGCGCTGTCTATTCTTCACGATTTTTAAATTTTTTTTTAAATAATCACATTTTTTATATATATTTCGATAAACCTGCTTATAACAATTACATTGTCTGCTTATAATTCAGGCCTTTAATTCAACAGTTTGGCCTTATATATAACAATTACTTTGACCTTATTTATGTGTATTCATCACTTTGCCCATAACCATTTTAATACACATAAACCTGCTTAAATATATTACAACATCACAAAATACATTCAATCCTCCAATTATCACAAATACATTCAATTTACATATAATTACAAATCCGATAACTGTACAAATAGATACGTTATACAATTCTCAACTCAAGAATAAATTGACACCCGTCCTCCTTAATTTCTTCCAATCTTGCTTTCGAGTAAGTACCGCACTTGTATTCATCAAAGTACTACATAATATAACAGAACATGCACGGTTTAATTTTAAAACTAATTACTCAGATGAAATATCGGTTAATTATCAAAATGAATCATATAACTTATGAATTGATCCATACCAGGATTGGAATCTCTATTTGACCTGAAAGAATAATTTCCTTCATAAAGCGCAATACAAAATATCCGCAGTCAATCCCATTGCGCTGACGAGGACACTGTAAATGGAAAAAACAAACGAACATTTATCAGTATATATAGTTTAAATAGTTTTATCAAGTAGAACCACTATAACAGTCAAACATGGGAAAATATACTTCCACTCTGATCCAGCTGATGTTGTTAGCCTTCCTTTTTGGCATTGTTGCATCTCTTTGTGCTCTGAATATTTGTATAACTCTAACCTAATATAAACGCATATTTAGAACAATGTCACATAATAAATAAAGATACATAACTAAATATCTATAATATGATTCCTGTCCTGACTTGCTATCTCATTTGGCACCACATTTTTCTCTTTTTCAAGTGCCATTTTTTCTTTTTCAACTTTTTCTTTTTCAAATTTGAGTAGTGTTTAGATGCATCATTGGTGATATTCGCCTTGGAGCTCCTTTTTTTGTTTCAAATGCTCGAACACAAATGTATCCTGTATAAAATATAAGTAGACATTACATATTCTGTTCTTAGAATCAAATAGGAATTTATACAAAACCAAACCATATATTATTTTCTTACCTTCGCTAAAGAATTCTCTAACCTTTTCCGCTGACGTACCTGCATTGATATTTGATATAATAGTCCTATTCGTGCCAAAATAAAATAATACTAAAAACACGGTATCTCATTTGAATCATTTACCTCTTGTAATGGCCGATGTCCCGGTACCAAAATATGTTATTTGTTTCGTTAGAGACCATAACAACCTTCTAGGAACATTTATCGGTTTTGTCATTGATGCAAAGTCAGCAAAAACCTATACAAAAAATTGACAACAAAAACTTTTCAAGACATTATGTACTTAATGAGTCAAACCAGCACTAGTTTCGATTATTTACCTCATTAATTTGAAAGTATGTTCCGTTCAGGGGAAAATACCCCTTCATTGCAGTTCGGCATGGTATCTGTTACATAAATTATTATTCAATCTATAACTCTATGATTTGTATAAGAAATGAAAATCAAAATGCAACCATAGTTTCATTGTTTAATAACTCACCAGAAGTGTTCCAGGAACTGTTTGACTTTTATCTTCCTCTTGCAAGTCAGATGCATTTGATTCACCCGAGCTTTCTAATTCCACTATTTAAGAATACACAAAGTAGATATTTGTGCTTAGTACTTTTAAAAAAAATACAATTTTCTTTTAAATAATATTCAATGTATCATGTATGAATACTTTGTAGTTAAAAGTTATAATACAAGATATATTCATCAATCATATTACCAATTATGCTTAATATATGTAAAAAAATGACTAAGCTTATAAAAAGATGAAGACAGTACCTTGTAGCCATTCCATTAGAAGATAAGGGGAGCATGGTGTAAAAAAAAGAGAAACATGAGTCTATATATTTTTACTAACATATTAATTTATACTATTTTGGTAAATTAAATGTTACTAAATTAGTAAGACGGTACAAAATACAAATCTTTCCACATAATATTATTAATACTCAATATAGTTGAGAAAAATTGACTATAACAGGAATAATATGTGCCACACAATCTTGAGGCTCCAACAATTTTCCAAGAGCTGCACAACCCTCAACAGCAAGAAGCCGAACAGAATCTTGATCTACAAGAACAAGAGTCAATAAGTAATTATTTTCACTTCAATAAATGAGCATAACAAACAAAAATTATATTCACTTCAAGATTAACAGAAACTTAAAGCTTTCATCTGAATCACAAATAGTGTGAAGCTTCAATACTAAAAGTTAAAGCTGCAATACCATTATCAGATATAATTTTGTTATTTGAATAAACTTGTGTGTCAACTTTTCTTATAACAAAAAATTTAAATTAGAAGAGACACACTCATTAATCATATAAAGAATTTACGTATAAAAAATTTAAAATTCTGTGATATTTTATTTTAATAATAATAACACCTATGACAGCGCTTTTTAATACCTACAGCAGCGCTGCCTTAGCCCATGAATATAGCAGCACTTTACATGCAAAGCGCTTTCTTTGGCACACACCTACAGCAGCACTTTAGAAAAGCGCTTTCTTTGGCACACCCTACAGTAGCGCTTTAGAAAAACGTTGTCTTAGCCCATGCCTTTAGCAACCCTTTAGCAGCGCTTTTCCTAAAAGCGCTGTCATAGGTATGCTGTTTTTTTTCTTTTTTTTTTATTACACTGTAGCAGCGCTTATCAAAAAGCGTTGTCTTTGGTAGGCAATTTTTTTTCTTTTTTTTAATGACTCTTTAGCAGCGCTTTTTTAAAAAGCGCTGTCTTTGTATGCGATGCTAAAAGTCAATTTGTTGTAGTGCAAATAAGTTAAAAACAAATAAGATTTTTGATTTATAGAATTTTCTCAAAGTCAATTATAGTTTACTTCTTTGATATAATAATGATCGTAGAGAATATAATAAAGTCAGAGATAATATTGTTCAAAAGAAGAACACATATTTCAACAAATATCAACGAAAAAATCAAAAACTTTTTTTTTTGCAATTCCATTAAAATTAAAATAATTAATAAAAAAAATTAAGCTTATATAATAATTAACATTTACAACCCTTTATTCATCATATTATAATAGTTTGGCAAAATAAACATAAGTTTATAAAGGTATTGAAAATTTTATTTGATAATTGTTATAGAAAAATTTTTAAATTTTATTTTAGATTAAATAAATAAATAAATAAATATATATATATATATATATATATATATATATATATATATATATATATATATATATATATATATATATATATATATATATATATATATATATATATATATATATATATATATATATATATATATATATATATATATATATATATATATATATATATATATATATATATATATATATATATATATATATATATATATATATATATACACAGACTATTTCAAGGCTCGGCCAGATTAGACATGTGCTCAGGTTCAGGTCCAAAATTTTGTCTTCTTTTAAAAAAAATATGAAAATTGTGGCGGCTAAAAAGTTCTGTGGCCGTTTAAACTACCACAATTAACGAAAATGCAACAATAAAATTGACCGCCACACAAAATACCATTATATACATTGAATAAAATGGAGGTTTTTTGTCGTTGATAATGGCAGTTTTGACCACCATAAATTAAACATTTTTCACAAATAAAAATATGAGTTTTTTTATATACCTTTTTATGCAATTAAGCATATATTACATCAAATTTTTTTATATTATACTATTTAGATTCAACTACATTACAAAAAGTGAAAGAATTGAAATAAAGAATAAAGTTGTAATCTAAAACTAAATTAACCAAAAACAAAAAATGAATATTTAGGAAAAATAAAAATTAACATAAAAGCAGCATCTATTAAAATTTTAAAAAAAAAATATGTACAGTGTTGTAAAAAAGAAGAAAATAATAAATTTTATCCTCAAATAATATAAAAAATATTAGGTGTTCGATAGAATTTTTTAACCAATTTTTCGCCTATTTTCGCTTCAATTCTTTTACTTCATGATGTTGAATTATTATTGTTGTTGATGATTGTTGTTGTTGCAGGTTGTGGTTTATAAATTATGGTGCTGAATTATTGTTATTGATAGTTTCACTTTATGTTATATGAGGTCCAATATTTCAATTTATCTTCACTTTATATAAATTATATGATTTAATTTATGTTAACTAAGAATTTATTTTTTAAATTTAGTTTGTAGTTACAATAGTTAGCAAATAAAATTATGTTGTTTACTTGCTGCTAATTTTAAGAATCATTATGAATCACATGAAATGATGTTTTATATTATAATTAACCTCAAGTTAGATATGACTATGTTAGTTTTAAAGTTCTGTCAAGATCAATTAAATTAAAGATCTTTTATTTTGATTGATATTTATATATTATATATAATGTGAATTTGCACTCTTTAAATTTTTGTTCTGATTTCAAAAAATTTCTAGCTCCGCCAATATATATATATATATATATATATATATATATATATATATATATATATATATATATATATATATATATATATATATATATATATATATATATATATATATATATATAAACTTAAAATTAAATATCTAAATCAAAAATACATAAGAGTACAAAAAAACTACTTTTATAAATACTTAAATTTACAAAACTATATTCCAGATGTCATTCTTAGTATTTTTATTTTCTTTTTATTAAGATGTATTTTTTGATATCTTATTAACTCATATCATTTTCTCAAATATAATTTATAATAAGTTATTGTAATATAAATTTATAAATATTATTTTGTTAAAATAAACTTTTAACGTATTTAAAATTAAAAAATAAACGAATTAATTAATTTAAAACTGTGCATGCTGGTTTTAATCTAGTTTATTATAATTGCCAAGACAACTAAACAATTATGAACGTTTCCGGTAGAACTTCTAATAGCATATGTTGCAGTCACAATAGAAATGATGAGGAGAAACATTATCAAAACAATTATGAATGTTTCAGTTAAATGGGACAAAGATTTTCCATCTTCAACATCACGTACATTACCAACCCTAAATTTAAAACATGATAAAATAAAAACCCAAACCATTACGCAATCTATTCTTTAATCTTTGTTCTTAAAGCTATTCTAACTCAACTTTTTTTATATAGTTTATGTAGTCATAAAGCATAAACCAATAGCAATTGATTTTAAGTCACAAACTAAGCACTAATGATAATTTAATGCTTAGTGGAGGTGGTATATTCTTATTTAATTATCATTATGTTTTGAAGAATTAGTGCTGCAAGTTTGGTTCCAAACTTTATTAGTTTGAAAGATCTAATCAATTCTAATTGCGGAATAATTAATAGTAGTATGCATGGCTGTCATGTACGAAAAATTGCTTGAATTAACATTATATATGCTTCCTTTTAATATTTTAATTTATTTTTTAAACAGAAAAAAGGTTATACTCCTATATCCTTCCCTTTCATTTAATTAATGGGAGAGAAAAAGAGAGGAACCTAACATCTAGACACATCCATTAATTATTTAATCCATTGCATCCTTTATACTTCAAAAATTAAATAGTATTATTCTTTCATAAACCAAATATTAATGTTGTATTCTATGAAATAAAAAATTATTATTATTTTATTACCTTCCATCTTAAATATATAATTTTATATTTATTTTAAAGGATATAGTAATTCAATTGATATTCATCGTTATGCTAGATAGATGTGAAATAATAATAATAATAATAATAATAATAATAATAATAATAATAATAATAATAATAATAATAATAATAATAATAATAATAATAATAATAATAATAATAATAGATGAAGATGATATATCTTCTGAACAAATTCTTTTTATGTATTAAATTTACTCATACTTAATTACAATATTCTAAAAATATATATGTATAAAACTATTATTTTAATTCAACTTTGATGCCCTTTCTCTTTTTAATTATAGCTTTTTTTCAATAATTTGTCTCTTATTACAATTAACAAAATAATAATTGTTTTTACTCAAATCAAAAAGCTACTTCTAACTAAGAAGAAGAAATCTGCACTTCACTTTCACTAATAAATTTGTACGTGATCATTATTGATTGAAGTTTTAATTTGTGCTTTAATAACTCTATAGCAACAACATAATACAATGGATTATCGTAGCGATTGAGTAAAGGTTGTAATAGGTCATATTAATTAATAGAGATCTAGATTAGACCAAATTTATTTTTAAAAATATAAGGTGCCTGAGTTGTTTTATAAGGTTAAATTAAAATGATTAGGGGCATAAAAAAGTCTTTTAAATTTATTAAATTTATTTATTTAAATAAATTATATGAATAAAATGATTATCTTGAAGAACTTATAAGATGTAATCATCTTATAAACAATGTCATAAGTTGTTTTCATAAGTTTTTTTAAACAAATAGTTTCACAAAACTTATGCTAATAGATAAGTTAAAATAAATATATGAAAACAAACTTTTAGTTTCATTGATCTTTTAATTTGTTAGTTTATTTAAACATCATTTGAATTATTTATTTACACATATCTATAATATATAGGCTTATATGTAGGTTAATAGAATAATCAGACTTTGAAAATGTTTGTTAAATTTTAATTATCATTGTTAAATTGGTATGAATGATGTCTTTTCTTCATTATTACAAAATATATATTTTATAATATTGTATTAGTTTGGCCTTTAAATCAATCGAAATAATAACTCTTATTTAGGTGTTTTAATTTTTTTATTTATTAAAAAAAAAACTTTTTACAACGGTCCAATCTATCAACTGTAGTGATATTACACACTTCAAATCTCAGCATCA